AATCTCAGATCCTCAAACTTGGGTACAAAGGGGTTTTCGTTGAATTTGATGTGAGGCAATCTCCGAAAATCTCCGCACGCGGAGTTTTTAGATGTCACAGACATCTACAAGGTAGACGTGTAATATTGTTTTTGTGCGACAGCGTTGGATGCAGCGCACGCAGTACACGCGACGAGCGTTGCACGTGCGAACGCTGGACGGAAGAGATGCCGGAGAGGGGATGTGAGGAGGTTTGAGGTCGCATTGATTTTGTCTAGACAGGGTGGAGACTGCTCTCGTGGTATCATTCTCCGCGTTCACAGTTTCGTATATGCTGTCAGATCAGCGTAGTGCTCGTCAGTCGAGATGTCCCGTTTAGCTTCCGCCGTTCGTTTGCCACGCGAGGAGGAACGTCGCTGCCCGGGCAGCTTTTTTCTGTGAAATTCAACGACGGATGCTTTAATAAAATAATTATTAAGTAATTATTAGTTGTTGCATCGCACAAAATTGTCGTCAAGGATTCTATTTGTTACAACAATATCGTGATACGATGATATGTGAAGAACGTAAAGCAATTGTTTGCGGAGAAATACATAGAGAATGTGACGTTGTTAAGTTATTTGGAAAAAAAAAACGCGATTCGCGTATAATGTCATGTAACATGAAAATAATACTAAATCTTTTTTTCCCGTTTGCTCTTTTTCCAGGTACGCCTTCGACTCCGATAATGCCAGGTGGTACGCCCGGCACACCATCCTCTAAAGCAAAGGTAAGTCCACGTTCCGTTTGATATGGAAACTTCCTCGTTCTTAGCATTTTTATGTAATCCATGCAAATTTATTTTGTCTCGCAGGAAAAGATAATGTTGCGGGCGAAAGTAGTGGTGGCTCTGTATCCTTTTCGAGCCATCGAAGGCGGCGATTTGTCTCTTGAAAAGGTAATAACATAACAAAAAGAGGAAAGTTATAAATCATTACAATATACGTATAATATAATATATATAATATACATATTATATTAAATTAAAAATAGAATATTTATTACTTCTGATTTTACGAGTCTAGGGTGCAGAGTACGAGGTCTTGGACGATTCCCAGGAGCATTGGTGGAAAGTTAAGGACGAGAATGGGTATATAATTCTTTTTGAATAGCTTTAAAAATTCCATCTGCACGACTTGGCTCTTCTTTAAAACTTCTTTACGGCAAACGAGTTACGTCTTATCTATACATTTTTTTTTTATCTTACACATACGTCGCGGCAGCAGTGATTAACCGACAATCGTGAGAGAATAATTGGTTGTACGCACGCAATTCGCAAACAATAATCTTAATGATACTCTCGTATAATCATCGATAATTATTCATAATAGCCAGATTGTTTATGCATACATGAAAAACGGGTTGCAGAAAGCTATATGACGCGCATTTAATTGCAGATCGATCGGCTATATTCCTAGCAACTACGTTAAAGAGAAGGAATTATTGGGACTGCAGAAATACGAGTAAGTTCGGCGTATATAATCTTTTCCTACAAATCACCGAATTTAGTATCTCTTGGATATCATAACACCTTATTGCTTTTCTCATTTTTCGAGTTATCACTTATCAGTCAACTACTTTTCCAGCAGAACTTGAACACAGCGCTCGGTAGTGATCTCGTATAAATCGTAAGATGATACATGATAAAAGGATAAAAAAATGGTTTTACTTGTTGTTATAGATGGTACGTAGGTGATATGTCAAGACAACGCGCCGAGTCATTGCTGAAACAAGAAGATAAAGAGGGCTGTTTTGTCGTTCGTAACTCGTCGACGAAAGGGCTTTACACGCTCTCACTTTATACGAAAGTGTAAGTTACAAATGGCAGTACAAATGGCTTCCACTGACTGGCTCTAATTTCTTTCGCACCTGCTGATAATTTAAGATTTTTTATACTGCCGTAGGCCACATCCCCACGTGAAGCATTACCACATCAAACAAAATACCCGCGGAGAATTTTACTTGTCGGAAAAGCATTGCTGCGGCTCCATTCCCGATCTAGTTAATTATCATAGACACAATAGCGGTGGTCTAGCCAGTCGATTAAAGACCAGCCCCTGCGATCGTCCTGTACCACCAACTGCTGGCCTCAGTCATGGTTTGTAAAATTTAATTTATATACGTACACACTTTCTCCATTCCTTAATATTAATATATTTCATATATGTATAAAACACACATAAGAGGTAAGGTCAAGAAAAGTTGTTTTTCTCTATGACGCTACCTAACGACTGGCGGCCTTTTTACAGACAAATGGGAAATCGACCCAGCGGAATTACATTTGCTGGAGGAGCTCGGGTCCGGCCAATTTGGAGTCGTGCGGAGAGGAAAATGGCGCGGCTCTATCGATGTCGCCGTGAAAATGATGAAAGAGGGAACCATGTCCGAGGATGATTTTATAGAAGAAGCTAAAGTAATGACGTAAGTCTCGATCTATTTTCCGCATCGAGACTTTCAATAAACAACTAGACATCCGACTGAAATCCTTTGAATTCAATCAAAAACTTTATAATGTTACAACTTATTCTCTAAATAATATATCGATATCGATCTCTTCAAAATATGTTCATCATGATAAATTTTCGTTTGTGCAGGAAACTGCAACATCAAAACCTAGTCCAGCTATACGGCGTTTGCAGTAAAGATAGACCAATATATATTGTCACGGAATACATGCGACATGGATCTCTTCTTAACTACCTCCGCCGTCATGAAACCTCATTAGGTGCAAACGTTGGCCTCTTGTTAGATATGTGTATACAGGTAACGCAAATTCCGTCTTACAGACAGTAGAACATGTTACATGTGGCGGTCAACAGAATTCTAATTATCAAGATTTTCCGAATCTCCTATGAGGTATTTACATTTTTTTGTATAGGTTTGCAAAGGAATGGCATATTTAGAGAGGCACAACTATATACACAGAGATCTTGCAGCACGTAATTGTCTGGTGGGATCGGAAAATGTAGTAAAAGTTGCAGATTTTGGTTTAGCTAGGTATAAACTATTTAATTTTATTTTTATATTTCTACATCTTACAAAAGTAGAAAGCTCAATGTAAGCGTGTATTAAAATTTAACTGACTGAGGTGATGAATATTTTTAGGTATGTACTCGATGATCAGTATACCAGTAGCGGTGGCACTAAATTTCCTATTAAATGGGCGCCTCCGGAAGTTTTAAACTACACGCGCTTCAGTTCGAAATCGGATGTGTGGGCATACGGAGTACTTATGTGGGAAGTGTTTACGTGCGGAAAGATGCCTTACGGTCGCTTAAAGAATACGGAAGTCGTCGAGCGAGTGCAGCGAGGAATTATTTTGGAACGACCTAAAGCGTGTTTCAAGGAAGTGTATGAGGTAAATTGTGCCGTTTTCCCGTTCCTCGGGAATTCTATATCGTGTATAGAAATCACACTTTTTAGTTTATTTGGAATTTGAATTCCAGGTGATGCGCAAATGCTGGGCTCACTCTCCGGAAGTACGACCGTCCTTCCGCGTTCTGAAAGAGCAGCTGATTAGCGTCTCCCAAGGATTGGTCAACGATTGACTCAACCTTCTGCGGTGTATGCGCCTGTCCTCACCATCCTGCCGATCGATCCGCTCGACGGCGAAATCGTCGCCGTCGTCGGAACGATTGCTCTCTGCCGGTCTACCCTCGTCAAACTTGCCGTACAATTCAGCAACGTTGCCGTCGCGCAAGACACGCGCGCCGGCTTCCCCGCCGCCTTCCACAATCGATTTCCCTCGTCGTTTCTCATCGACTACGTGCAAATCAAAAAGAGAGGGCTCCTCGTCGCCGAATACACCCGGGCATCAAGCTAGTCAACAAAAACCATCTTCGAGCTCGACTAATAACGTGTGTGACGTTTGCAGTTCCTACGGACACCCGTGGATTGAAATATGCAAGGCGATACGAGCCACTAGAGGTAAATGAGTAAAAAGAGTGTGTGTACGTGTAATTGAGTAACTTACACTAATCTCCATTGCGACTATTAGAGAGCCGTACCCGTAATATGGAGAAGTGATTCTAACGAAACCCCGTAAGCGTTAATGCCTCACTTCTTTCGTCTACCCTCTCCTCTTATCTCTCGTCCCGCTCCGTATGCATCTCCGAACATCTTGGGAAGATGTTCCGTATATTACGTGACTTTACTCGATACTGGGATGCGTGATACTCTCTACGTGAGTTTCACATACTATTTTTCCCATATAATTTTTAGACTTTACTCTGTATCGTCATAAATACATTTATATAGAACAATAGTATTTATTGATGGCCTTTGCAACAGATGCAATATTCAACTTGTGATTCCGCTTAGAATAAATCATTTTTTATTATTATTTTGACAAAAATAATAACACAACTTTTAATCAGAGATATTGTTTCTGCTTAATAAACCGATTTAATAAGTAAACCGTTTCCGTTTGTTTATACTTAACATAATTATAACCATTACGACTAATAAGTATAACTGTGAGATAAAAGGAAAGAGTGAAGATATAAAATAAGTTTATATTTTATTTTAATGAATTGATTAAACGTAATGCTTATTTGGAGTTAGCCTAATGGAAAATCATGAGTGGTAAGTAATGTACATATCATTCGCATTAATTACTCTTATTGTAAATTTCATTACAAATTTATAAATTATATATCTTGTATAAAGTGTAAATACAATTAAATAGCATGTAATAAAATTAAATAGTTTAAAATACGTTATGGACATCGATAAAACAAAGAAAGTTAGTCTGCTAAAAACATATGTGTAGATCACATTTATTAAAACTATACTCGACTCATTTACAAACTTTCTTCGATATGAGTATAAGAGAAAACTTTTTTTTGTGTAATTCGACGTAAGAAGTGAATCTGTCGCTCGAATATCGAGTTTTCAAGGAGAAGTAGCACTGGTATCGTAAATATAACAAAAAAAAAAAAAAATAAGTACTTTTCTCTAATACGTGATATTTCTAATTAAATTATATTCTATTTTGTGTAATAGATTTTGATCACTTATGGCAAAAGGCATTAAAAATATAGGAATCTTTTGAAGCCTTCTTACACGGAATTTATCATTTGCCTTTTGTCTGAAACAAAAAATATAAGAGATTACGCATTTTGCAGTTAAAAAGGAATTATCTAGATTGAATATATTTTGAGATTATTGCGTTATAACGTTAAGGATTCTCGCAATTAATCGATATACTTTTAAAGGCATTAGATACATAAGATACACATAAAGGTATAAACTGTACTAGATAAATTTACAAAAGTTAATTATATACGTACAAGAAGTATAGGATATAGAAATGTGGAGATGCTCTTCTCCGTATATCCCGATTGTACTTTGCAAGTATATTCACCCATATCGGGCCAATCAAGATTCGTTATCTGCAGATCGCCACTAGGTAAAACAGTGTGTCTCTCGTGTGTGATGGGACTTATGATTTTGCTTGAATTATCTAACCAGAATAGATAAGGTGCCGGTTGACCTACGACTCTGCATGGAAGAATTACCGTGTTTTCATTAAGAGCGAATCTCCAAGAGGCATGTAAGGTGATAGTTGGTTGACTCTCACTGTTGCATTCGGTAGCTTTGGTGCCTAGTAGATGTAGACAATATAATCAGACAATTCCGTAGATAACATCTATTCAGTTCAACAACGAAATTTTATTTGTTGTATCGCTTACTATTAACGAGGAGTACCGTCGGCGCCGATTGAACCACTACATTTTTAGATACGGACACGCAATACTTTAAACCTTGATCTTCAACTCTGACGCAATCAATCACGTATGTGGAAGTGATTTGACTAACACCTTCCCATTCCGTGGACATACCGTTGTTCGTTTTTTGAACCCGCGCAGTCAACTCCTGAATCTGTAAGAGGAACGTCATATATCTATATATATATATATATATACATATATACATACATACACGTACGTGTGTGTGTCGGTATGTATAAAGAGCACGTTGCTATATAACTCCTTTATCATAAATCACCGAGGATATCTTTCTCAGCATTAATTAGCGAGACCGACCTGCCTTTCTGGTTCGTTTCCTGTTATCCAATAAACCTGGGGCGGCGGATTTCCAACTACCTCGCATTGCAGTTCGACGCGACTTCTAAATGAACACGAAAGGAATGCGATCACGTTACTTTCGCGTCTATGTGTGCACTAAAATCGTTACTTTATATCGAAGCAGTGCATATTTACCCGACGGCAACTTCTAAAGAATCCGGCGGATTCTGCAAAATTCTGGTCCACGTTGTCGTGAAGCCGCTCTAGAAGGAAGATATAATATATATAGTATTACTAGAAAGAGGGGAGAAATGATAGATAGAAAGCGGAAAGAAGAGAGAATTCGACTCGTTGTGTGTAAAAAAACGGAGTCAAAAGCCGCGCGGTGGCTCTTTCAGTTGATGAAATACGAAAGAGGAATCGTGAAAAGTTGAACAAATTTATAACTTTATGTTCGTTGGTTCAAACGATGAATAGAATCGACATTAATCGACCCGTAACTAGAACATGATTCATTTTTTCTAATTTTGAAATAATTTCAAATAATTTTATATACATATGTTGCTTCATTTACCTGCAACTCTAATTTTATTCAATGGACTTACTTTTATTAAGATTCGTTTACAAAAATATCGTATCAATCGTATATCAAGATTAATAATAACCGGTAGAGTGAATTTTATTATAAGGACTCTACATCAACCTCGACATCGTTTATACAACTAGCGAGATGCCAATTTCACATGTCTACAGAAAAAATCGTCCAACTTTTTATAATGATGATGACATTTTCTTCGCAAAATGCGATTAGTTTAGTTTATATATTAACATAAAGTTTTCATGTAATTTAAAATCTCCGACTTACACCGATAATAACAATCCGATGTTCGGTATTGAAACGTTGAAATAGTATTGTTTATTGTTATTAATTTGAACATTAAAAGATCCTGTTCGTGCTCGTAGTTGGTCTATTGTATCATTCAATTTTATTTTAATTGACAATCATATTCTTTTACGATTTTACATAATTTTATATAATTTCGCAGTCTCTTATTTTTCACACTTTCGTTCACTACTTGTGCAAGTTGATTGTATTTATGCTAAGTTCAAGTGTTGCAATTTGTTATAGTTATAGTTGAAAATGTTAAAACTACATAGTAGGAGAAAACTTGAGTAGGACCCACGAATTCAAGAAAATGTGTGTTTCTGTTACGGAGTAACGGAATATACCTTTTTCATGCCGGCTGGTTTAATCTCACTTTTCAGTCTATTCGGTGTGCTGGACTCATCGACGTTTGCCCGCGAGTATGATGCATTTGTCATGAGGAAGAATGTCAAAGGACTTCCGAAGGCTACGTCGGTTGCGACGACGAGCGTCAAAAGATAGGCGAAGCACAGCTGCATCTGGAAAGAATCGTTTAAGCCTGTTCTACAATCTGATTTTTGTTTCCTGTTTCTTGCCTTTTGTTATTTTTGATATTTTGTCTTTTTTGCTTCTTATCCTTATAATTTTTTTTTTGTTTTGTTTTATACCGCCCGAGATAAAAGTCATCGAACATTTGGGAAGAAACAAGAAATACAATTGTTGATAAAACGGTTGCAAAGGAGAAAAAAGCAAAAGGTCAAAAACAAGAAACAGAAAACAAAGAGCACACTGTAGAATAGGCTTTATGTACGGAAACTTGCCGTAATACGTATCGTTTGTCGTTAATCGTTAATAATTATTAGGAAGTATATATACAAAATGTTTGGAGATTTTCCCCGAACCGAGGACAAGGGCTTGTCGCGTTTCGCAAAGTCGGAACGAACGTGTACTGAATTAATTATCTGCCTCCACAGCAACGCCGAACTTACTGCAGAATTTCAAATTCGAAGGACTGGATAATGAAATACGAAAGATTTCGCGCTGAAGTAATATTTATATTATGTACGCTCGATACAAATGTATTCCTTATATTTTAGATATCATATATAATATGTATATATGGTGTCTCTCGCTAAGCGGATCCTCCCGAGTCGTATCAATCTTTGAATAACTTTTTCTTTAACAGCATTACACCAAAAGAGAGAATATCTAATAATTCTCCTTCAGAGCGAATCAGTTATTTGTTGGAATACAGCTCGACTCTCCAAAAGATGGAGGAAAAGTGCAATTTGAGCCAAAAAACAAAAAAATCTGATATTTTATTATATATATATATATTTAATTAATAATTACGTCCAAGTACAAAAATTCTACCTGAAAATAACGGAAGAAGGAATCTTATCGTCCGCTCGTCCCATGCGTGGCTTAGCTGAGAAAAGACTCCTCGATCGCTCACGATTAGAGAACTATGTAGATATACCTTCCTGTGAGAGAGGGAAGCGCTGACTCAGAGGTGCGCTTAGCGAGGAAACACCCTGTATGCACGCGCGAATAAGTAGCGATTAATTTACACCGAATCGAGCAACCGCTTTAATATCTCGTGTCTCGGCCTACCACTGAAAAAAAGATACGCGAATGAGAGCGATAGATGCGC